TATTGCTGTATTCTTGGTGCTTATAAAACTATCAATAAAGATATGAGCAAGGCCTCACCTTAAAAAAAAAAAATAAAATAAAAATAATATTGAAAAATTATTCTCAATGAATGTAAGACATGAGCATTTTTGGTCGGGAATTAGTGAAATAAAAATTCAGAAATTTATAACTAGATAATATATTTAAGTTAAATATTATTTTAAAGAAATGGCTAGTCAGTTCTCTAGATTGATTCTGAACAATATACGTATATGATTTTGTTTTATTAGTGTTAATTCAGTTGTGTATAAAAATCTTGATCATCACTTAAATAAGTTCACGATTCTGCTTCTTATTTATTGCTAATTTAGTGAGTAAATACAAACCTTAGTATTTAAAATAAATTACAGTTATATAATGCTACTTATATTTTTTAATTCATATTAACTTAATTATGTATAAAGATCTTTTAACCAATGCATTAAAATTTGTGAATTCATAGATTTGTTATTTATATTAATTTAACTTGAGCTACTTTATAGTGTGTAAATATTCTATGAAATTAAGATAGACTGTTTAAATCCCTTTATTTTAATTATTATTTTTATTTATTTATTTGCTATATAGCTAAAAAAATGTGTTATTTTTTATTGAATAAAAAAATTTACAATTTATCTGGCAATCAGTATCCGAAATCACATTAGCTTGCAAAATAGTCTAGCTACCATTTTTTTATAAGTGATGCTAGGGTTGTTATCCACTAACGCTAAAATAACTATTAATATATTACTTGTTTGAGCCAGCTTAAGCTGGCTCGGCTTGACTTTTAAGCCAAGCTCAATCTGTTCCTATCCCTTTGTAGTTTGCATTATACAGAATCCTGAGAGAAATTTCATAACAGAGTCTAGAAGTTATCAATAGTTTGAGTTATACTGTATCTTTATTCTTAACAAACTATAACATTGATTTATTAAAATTTTCAGATCGGTTGACCATTTTCTAACAAATAATATTATACATATTTGCATGTTTGTTATGCTATTTTATTATGTACATTTAAGAAATTGCTAATATTTTTTTGTATTTCAGATGCAATTTTCTATGATTTAGTATTAGATAAGTATCGATTGCAAGCACTTTCAAAACGCAACTATTGTTTATCTAATTCATATAACAATTTATTACATTAAGATGTCATGGTGACATATTTATTTTCATAAAAGGTCAGCAATAAAGTTATCTTTATTCCTTAAACACATTTTTTTCTCCTTCTTGATATTCAATATGTTTTGTTTCTAACAAAATATCAATGCATTTTTTAATATCAGCTAATGTAGGTTTGAAATGACAAAGCTTTTCAACTCGTTCAATCGCTTCTTTGGCTAAATCAGCAATATTCATAGTTTTATTACATCTCAAAATTTTAATAATGGCATGCTATATACATATATAGAATGATGTTTATAATTCTTTAAAATAAGTATAGTGTAAAAAATATATGCTTATAATCAATTTAAATTTACAAACCTTTATACTAAAATTTCTTTTATTGTCTTCATCAACCCTTTTTGTAATTCCTCTTGAATTTTCTTTTCTTTCTGTTCGTATTGAATTAAATATAGTACTTTTAAATTGATATGAACTTTTTTGCTAGTATCATATAAAGCCTTAATTATTTAAAATTTTAAGTTGAAAATAATCTTAAATATGCTAAAGCATTAATAAACCTTTCAAAGTCTATATTCAATTCATAACGAGACAAAGAATCACCAACTTCTGCACTAATGACTAACTTGAGTACTTTGGCTTGAATAAGGGTTCCTAAGGTAGCTTTTAAGACTAAGTCATTTAGATCTGTTTTTAGCTTTAACTCTTCAAATGTATATGAAATATCTTTATTATATTGCAAGAGAATGCCCATTTGATACATAGATACAGTGTAATATAAATATTTGAGTTGAAAATATAGTTATTATTATTATAATCTAATTAATTAATCAACTAATAAAGATTTTTTTATTTACCAACCAACCTTGAATGTATAAGAATGCTTTGTTGAATTGCAATAATTGGCCTTTATTTCACTTCTTGAAAGATGAACTAACCAATTGAATTTATGTCCAGAGTGCTTAGTTTGATAAAATGTTTTGAAATGTTGGCAAGTTTTGTTGAACTAGTATCAAAGAAGAATATTAATTAAGCATATGAGTGAAATAAAAGCAATAATTTAGAGTATTTTTTACTTCTTCTGGTATAATAAAGTTTGTTGTTGATGGTTAAGAGGCTAAAATGCAATATCTAAAATAAGAAAAGAGCTGTTATATAAAAAGTATAAACATACAAGTAAGATTATTTAAAATTTAAAAGAAAACACATCACAATATAGTTTTAAAAAATTTATAGTAGTTTTCTTGTTTATCAACTTTTGTAGAATAGTACACCTTAAACTTATTACTAAGATCTTTACTTTTACTTATATCAGTAAACATTTGACTTAATTTTGAAGTATATTCAAAGTCACATTCTTTCTATAATTGTTTTAAGATTTTAATCATTAATATTAATTAAATTTAAGTTTCATATATATATCTTATTGTAACTAATGTTTAACTTAGTAATCATGCTATTTTCTACATTATCTGATACTGATGTTCATTTATCAATCATTTTGCCAACAGCTTTATATAGAATTTTTGAAAATAATCTTTATCTTCCAAAAATCTAAATATGATCATCTAAAAAAAAAATTAAATTGTTTGAAATATACAAATTTGAAATATAACATATATTTAAATATTATTTACAAAGATTTCAAGATTATATTCTTCAGACTTCTTTCTAAGTAAAACATCACAAAACCTAGCTAATAACTCTAGAGCTTTATTTTTTAAGGACTTGCAAATATGGTTGTGATTACCAATGCTCCTGCATGCCTATTGATAAAATAAAGTTATTATTATTATCAATAAATGTTATAAATAGAAGTTGAAATTGACTGATGCTGAAATTTGGACTTATTTTAATATAAAATTTTAAAAAATTTTTGCTATTTTTTTATAGTTGAACTATGATTTAGGATTAGAATTATCTAATAAAAAGTTTAATTTTAGTAGGGTTTACATTTTAAAATTGAGATCCAAATTTCAGCTCAATTATTACTAATAATTACTAATTATAATATTAAATACGAGTAATTGTTTGCCAACCAATATTCTATATTTACTTTATTCAATAATTTATTGAAATTAATTTCATCTTGAAAGAAACTAATCATTGTTTTATACTTCTTCAGTAGTTCACACAATTCTCCAATCAACACTTTAATGTAGACAATTGGTTCCTAAATAATTGATTAGTGATTTAACTGTCAAGATGAAAAAAATAAAACTAATGCT